GCAACCCGCCGGTTTCTATAAAGGAGGCACGTCCGTGTCTCGCACCATGCTTAGCATCGAGATACTATCAGTGTCTCCAGTTGTTCAAAATAAGAAAGACATCGATAGAGGATTCGTAATTTCATTATTTTAAGATCTTACGCCTGATTACTTTTGACTTTCATTAGCCTTGATTTATATTAGTTATATGTATATTTAATGGATAGAGAGTTCTATGTAATTATTATTATTTTTCTTAAAAGATTATAGATTATATAAATTGTATAATAAAAAGAATTAATCAAATATAACGTCCTAAGAATAAATCTAAATAAATCATTTTAATAAATAATTAGGAATAAATGATTCTTTAAACATTAAATTTTCTTTCAAAATGAGGCATCGGTATTTTTTTCGTTTTTACCAACCTATTCTCCTTGTAACAAGAAGAGAAAAGACGAATCATATGTCAAAGGTAATAGTGCGTCAATGAGTGATTTGTCTTCACAGCTATTTTTTCACACGTTTATATTTTTTCATTTAGTGCATCCTTTTTCTGTCTTTTTTCTCATGTAATATTTGAATATTTTATATTTACATTTTCTTTCATGTAATATTTGAATATTTTATATTTATATGTTTACAAAATATACCACGATATTATGTTTTAGAAAAGAACAATTTTGCTATAGTATATAAAGATTTATCTAAATCTAAAAAAACGACAGATTTTAAATTTTATTAAGCCATCTATAGAATTTCGTGTAATAAACGTCTTTAAAAAGATCGTCTTTAAAAAAATAGTAATTCTGTTTTTTTTTAATATTCTATATTATATTAATACTTATACAGTCAGGGCCTAAAAAGTTGCAACACCTTTTTTAAATGCAGTTTCAAAATGCAGCTTGCTCACCGAGCGATTGGTTATTACTATGGATCCATATAAAGCTCTGATTGTACATGTTTCGGTTAATCTTTTCTTCAATAAAAATTCAATTGATAGTACAATACATGTTGTTATCCATGAATCGTAGAAAAATCGTTGTATAATGAAATATCGGTCAATAGCATTGTGTGGCAGTAACATTTTTCAATTACAGAGAACTGTTAAAATTAATATATGACAACAAAATAAATAGTTTTAATAAAATTATCGGTCAAATGATAAAAGCATATTAGAGTTAAATAAGCGATACTATGATTTAACAAATTGTCAAATTGTGTCACTAATTAAAAAGAAAAAACGAAGATCGGTGTTAGTCAAAATGGTATCGATATTCAACTGAAGAGTGTAACAGGTTTATTCTCTAAAGTTAACGAAATGTACAAAATAAATTATTGTGAAAAAAATCATTATGTTTTATATGCATGTGAAAGGTACGCTATAGTCTGTTACAAATTATTGAGGAGAGACACATATATCTTATCTAAAAATTCTGTGTCTTTGACCATTAATTCCATTCATCTGTTTTTTAATGTATATCTCCGATGATATTAATCTCTTGTTATAATTACATGCGGCGTCTAATCTAAGATTTCAACTTCGTCCTAATTAAATCCATAACCATATTATAACCTATGTTTGATTATAACTGAACGAACGTGTATCTACAAGTATGGTTCTTATATTCCGAAATTCTAGTTTTTAGTTGTCTGTACGTTTGATTACATTGGTTGTGTCACAGTCATTGCACGAAATTTTATAGATAACATTCTTTTTAGATGAAGCAGAGAGAGAATTTTTATGCGCTTTGATTACATATTGAAATTTGTTCAAGCTAAAAAAGAAAGAGATTGGATTGTTTAAATCTTTGGTGATAATTTTAAATCTCTCAGAAATGCTATCAATCTATGGGATGGTAAACCATGACTATGTATTTTTATTATCCTTTGTGGTGTCTTTGTTATGATTGATGTCAATTTTTTTGTGTTAATTAGATGTTTGATTTTATTGTAAATTGTATCAAAGACAAACTTCAATGGGTAATCATTAATGAGAAGAATATTAATAATAAGTTCCAAATTTTTTTAATGGAAAATAGGATGAGAAATGAAGAAGGCTCTATCTATCAAATTAATTATTATGTCTCTTTTTTGTATAAAAAAGTGCCAGGACAAAAAATTAAGGTATCTACTTGAAAAGGTAGGTTTTTAATATTAGTCGAAAATTATTCTATTATTTGAAATAATGATAATAGTATTTAAAAAGTTAATTGTGCTGTTACTTATTTCTAAAGTAAATTGTAGTCGCGAATGGTATGAATTAAATTTGTCAAAATCAGTTTGAATCATTTTTGATGGTATAACCATGACTATGTCGTCAACAAATCTGTGGTAAAAAGTAGAGATGCAGGAGTAGAGATCCGGAAAGTATCCGGTATCCGGAATTATTCAGCACTTTTTTACTATTCGATCGGATAGAAATAAGTATGTATATTTATGATGCTATAATATCTTATACATTGTTGCAAAATTATAATCTTTTTCTCTATAGGCCTTTTTTTTTAGAAGACACTTTCTCAGAATATCCCATTCGAAGAAAGATGAAGTTGGTCTTTTCAGATATCTGATCGAAATATCTGATGTTACATTCTGCCCGGATATCCGATATTCGATATGCGATCATTTTACGATCCCTAGTAAAAAGTATCTCGAAATCAAATGAGCATCACTCCTTCTAAATCGTGCATTACTAAATCGGCAATCACCGGAAACAAGAAGAATCCCGGAAAGAAGAGCCCATCGGTATGCCAAATTTCTGTCTATATATGCAATTGTCAAATTTCAAATAGATTGAATCTAATACAAGTCAAACTGTTCTCAGGAATTCATCTCTTGATATATTATATTGGTTCGAAATGAAATTCCATTTTTTGAAAATGCTCTCTATAACCAAATCTGTGTGTACATTTGTAAAAAGTTATATCACATTTAAAGATATCAAACAGTAATCGTTGTCAAAGTATGTGTTTTTTAGTTTATTTACTAAATCGTAATTGATATTAAGTGAGTGTGACTTGAAGTTGCTGGAATGCTTTTACATAAGATTTTGTGTAAAAAACAGAAAAGTGTAGAGAGCACTGTCTATCGAAGAGACAATAATTCTGAAGGGACAATTGCGTTTGTGCACCTTGAGGAAAGAGCATCTGCTCTTGATAGTAAGTAATCACTAATGTTTAAATATTTGTAACATTTCGGTGTAATATATTTATGATCTCTCCACCTAGTAAGTAAATCTCTCAGATTGTTAGAAATTTTTTTAGTTGGGTCTTCGTTAACTTTTTCATATATGTCAACATCACGTAGCATATCATTAACTTTTGAAATGTACATAACCTTTGTTTAATGTGACAATGATATTTTGTCGGCTCTGGTAAAGATTAAATTAGGATTGACAATCATGAACTCAGTTGAATGTTTCTTTAAATTTAAAATATATATAATGTTTTTATTACAACAAGAAAAAAAGGAGAATAATCTATTAATAATTGAAATTGTTCTATTTCTCGCGATGTTTCTAAAATTAAAGTCTAAATAAAAAGTCTATTGATATTATTCTCAGTATTCTTTATGAATTCCACAGTTAATTTTTTTGTGTTAGTGATTGGAAGAGAAAAATATTTTAAAGAAACAAAAACTGCGCGCCGTCTACATCGCCAATTCCTAATTGCTTGTTATTCGTTTTAATTTCTTTTGGAAATCATAAAATTTCTAAGATTTCTTGTAAATATGTATAATTTCTGATGAAATGTTATAAAATCTAAGAAATTTAAAAATATTTTTTTTAATTATGGAATGAGAAATCTCAAAATATTTCAGAATTCACATATATGAAGAATTTTGACAGAAGATCTGGACTTTCTGAATATTTCCAAGTATTTCTGAAAAATGTTCCAATTCATATAAAAATTATAAGAAAAATTTTCACCAGGGAAACCATTCTTTTTTATGTATATATATATCGTATCTGTATCAATTTTACATAGATGTTATAATAGCTACATCAAATATTATTGTATCTAAAATTAATAATACAAAAATGCATTAAGAAATTGAATTTATAGAAATTAAATTTATATTGCAAATAGGTAATCTTCCGTTTTGTAATCATGTTTATAAATTCTATTATCGCGCTTGTAAATTCTATTTTTGATTAACTATTCTAATTCTAAATTATTTAACTACGTCAATACGATATCACATTTTTTTTTATCATACAGTATTGCTCAAAAATTTTAAACAATGACAAATTTTTTAAAATAAATAGATAAATTGAGAAATTGTTTTCACAATGTATATTAAATATTTATTAATTAAAATTAATATTTTCTGTATATTTTTAATAAATAAACTATAATATTAAAATTTTCAGTATTTGTATCGCAAGGAACTGATGCTAGTATATTAATTAAAGTATTTATTTGATTACTAGCAAACTATTACTTGTTTCTGTAATTGACAATGAAACTGTGATGATTTCTCGTATATGCTCTTTCTTATATAATTAATAATTATAAAACAGAGCACATTACTTGCTCATAATTTTTAATCTTAACTAAATATTTATTCATTAGTGTTTATGTTTTGAATTTTCATATTTTTTGTTTCTTTTAGGGACCAAATTAAAATGTACGTCAATATTTCTTTGTTCAAATACAATATAAAAAGAATTAATGGATAAATACATTTGACAAGCAATTAATTTACGTTTTTTTTGTATAAAAATGATATTTATTGAATTTTGTGCTGTATCTCAAATATCTTAAATATTGTTGTCTGCTGTTTGTCGAATTTTATCGTCATATTGCTATGAAACGGCATTTTTAACGCCGATTTATGTTGGAAATTCTAATGATAACAACATCCGATTATCTCTACTCTCATTGAGAGATAACTATATGGATATATAGCTTGAAATCTACTCCTATGAATACCATCTTTGTATTCTCGACGAATATAAAAATAGGGTCCGCGCACAAGCCTGAATTATTTCTTCCGCAAAGCTGAGTGAGAAGCACCCGACCAATGGACATCCCGTTCACTTATTTACCGTGGCCCCAAGCAAACTGATCGTGGAACATGTATTGAATTTTTCATACGGACCGCCTCATCTTTTTTCCGTCGCTCGAGCTCTTTTTAAAAATTCCTACGCGAGAGACCGGTAACCTCGATTCTTCCTTGAAAGATTGAACGGCCGTTTCGCATCCACGAACGAAAGTGTTCTGTGTCCAAAATGCGCATCGTGACAGTCGTATTGCTATCAATTTCGCTATTCTGTACTTTCCAACACAGTCACGGATACGACATCCTAGGTATTTGCCCAAGTACAAGTTACAGCCACCAACAATCTTTTCAAGCATTGATGAAAGCACTGGCGTTTCGTGGTCATAAGGTTACTGTTTTATCAACAGTTCCCTTAAAGGTAAATTTTTCCTCATTTTTTGATCTAATCCTTTATCTTTATACAACTGACACACATCATTTACTTATTTTGTAAATATAATATAAAAATGTTAAAATTTTTATAAAAATAACTAAAAATTTTTGCAGCAAATTTTATTTTAAATTCATTTAATTATATAATTTTTAAAATAACGTACAATTCAAGGATGTATGGGCGTCATTTACAAATATATTAATATTCAGACTTTAAACAAACTATATATATATATATATATTTATAATTTTTAAGTTTATTTATTTTATTTATTATTACTGTTATTGTTATAAACTAAAATTTAAAAAATGATAAAAATTTAACTTTTTTTATAAGTGCTTTAAATATTTAAAATATAACTTATGCAAAGTTTTATTGCGATTCACTAATTAATTACAAAGATTAGAGAAAAAGTTTTGTTAGCTCAAAATTAGATATACGATATATACGTTAAAAGTGATCAAAATTTAAATTTAAAGAAATGATTTTAAAGTTTGAAACCTCGACTTTATAAAAAATTACGAGCTACAAGAAAGAAAATTTTTCTTCTCAATTTGTAGATTTGTCACGTGTCGAAAAAATTGCGAAAATTTTCGACTATCTATATTGTAAAAGTTCGAAGTTTTTAAAAATGTTTCTACGATTTTTTATTCTTAAGTTATTCACGAGTTAAACAAAAAGGAGTATTTTAACTTTGATTGCTCATAATTCCATTAAAAATCATGGTATTGCAATTAAAAAAATAAATTCTTAAAGCGTTGCTCTATCGAATAGTATCATGTTAATTTCTTAAATGTAAAATATATAGAAATTTAAGTTAAAAATGTGATATTACTAACCTTATAACCATTGCGCGATGGAAAAAAAGGACTGTAATATCATATTTTTAACAAATGTGTATATATATTAGGTGTTGGAATTAATTCGTAGCGTTTTTTAATGAAAGAATGTTATTTATTTCACATGAGCATTAAAAAATACATTAATGAAAGTACTTCCCATCACTTGTAAAACGCTACGAATTAATTCCAACACCTAATATACATATATATATATATATATATATATATATATATATATTTATATATATATTTATATATGTATATATATATATATTTGTAATATATATGTATATATATATTTTTTAAATTACATCACTTGATAGAGCATCGTTTCAGCTTTAAGAATCTGTTTTATTAATTACGGTATGATTTTTAACAGAATTATGAGCAATCAAAATCAAAATGCTCTTTTATTTAATTCGCGTGTAACTTGGTAACAAAAAGTCGTAGGAACATTTTTTAAAAATGAACTTTTAGGAAAAACTTTAAGCTTTTACGTCAAATAATCGAAAATTTTGCAACAAATGTATTCTGTATATAATTTTGAGGTAACAGAATTCTGCAGAACATTTTCTCCAACCCAATAGAACAAATAAATATTTTGTTTATTTATTGGATAATTAGCTTATACATCGCAATAACCTTACATAAATAAGCTTGAACACATAATATACTTATATTAAGAAATTCTTACAAAAAATTATAATATTGTACATTTGCATACATTTTTGTTAAAGCACAGATTCAAAAATTATTATTTATTAAAATAACTTATGATCCAAATAGTAAACCATTACCAAATTTTAAATGATTTAGGGTAATCTGTAATTTCTTCATAATTTTGTTATGTCGAAATATTATCCATACATCTTTAAAAAGACATTAGTGTTTATTATGTTTAAAACTTGGTACTGCAAAATTTATTAATTTACTCATCCTTTTTACTCCCCAATCGTTACGATTCAATGCTCTTGCCTATAATATATCATTACTTGCGAGAATCATCACCAATAAAGCTGCTTTATACTCGCTAAAGACTCAAGGCGTTACACTGTTCACTGTTATTTTCGTCTCGATAAGCTTGCGACTTTAATCGCATTCAAATACTTGTGGAACATTAACAGTCTTCTTCAATATTAAATAAAATAGTAATTATTGAGACCGAATCTTGCATGTATGTTTTATTAAATTTTTCGCTGTCAGATATAGGAATCGTTAGACAAAACAAATTTTAATTTATAGTAACAGAGAATTTTCACACACAATAAATACAGACATTAGACTCGATGACTTTTTTTCAAGCTTTTCTTTCTTCTGCATTTTACTTACTACATTTTTTATTACTTATTTCTATTCGATTTTTCTCTGACATTCTTCTTTCAGGTTTTCTCAGATCATTTGCCTAACATCTCACTTCTTTCCAGCTGTTACGCGTAATCCTTCCCTTTTCTTCCTCTTTTTTTTGTCTCTCTTTCTCTCTCTTTCTAAACTCGAGTTCAAAGTTACGCAAACTTCGTTTAGCTTCAATTTACTCCTACTAACATTTCTCTTTGCTGAATGTGTCTTCTCATGGCTTGATGGTCCTGTTTCTTTCGCGGCAAAATTAGAGATTAAATTGTTCACGTAAATTGGATAAAACCTAACTAACGAAAATATAATTGCCTTGTACACAAACTATCGCGGTACTTTATTGTTTTTTTCTCTTAAATTTACAGCAATTACTGCGCCATTTGAACATTTTTTTTTATTAATTTGTCATTCGTAATATTTAAGAGTAACTTTATTTTTATATTTATTATAGTAAACTAAGAAAAAAATTTGTTCATTGAACTAAACACATTTAGTTGTTTGCAGATTTGATTAATTATGATTGATTAACAATATTATAATGATAAAAAATTGTATTCAATCGAATTTAACCGTAGCACAGTGGGCCAGGATACCAGAAAAAGTACTAAAAATGCTTCAATTGTTAAATTGAGTATTCAGTTCTTGAAATTGCTGATATCCAAACTTAAAAATTAAAAATTTGAAATAATAGATGCAATATGGCGGACGAAAAATACTTCAATTGCTATCAAATTTGATACTTAGGAGCTTTTATGGTCGCTGATATCGAATTTGAACTCAAAATTTAAAAATTCAAAATGGCAGATCCAAAATGACGGAAGAGAATAGTTTAAAAAAAATGTCAAATCTCGACCCGCGATGCATACGCCTAGCACATAATCATGCTCTCTCATACACATAATTTTTAAATTTTTAAAACAGTTTTCTTTCTTAAACGTACTTACTTAAAATTGATGTTTTTATACAGCTTCATAATTATTATAATAAACAATTTATATAATAAACGCATAATAAAGTAAATAATAAATACACACACACACATACACACGCGCGCGCGCGCGCGCACACACACACACACATATACATAATTTAAAATATAGTAATTTTTATTTTTTGTAATTTCATAAAATATTTTTATATGATCATCAATAATTATTACGTATGAATTATAAGTCCTACTACTGTTAGTAATGATTATTTAAAGAAATGTAAATTATTTAAAATTAAAAGATTTAACTTAAATGCTAAGAATTCTTATAGTATTAATTTTAATAATTTTAAAAATTATAAATTTATGGACACATTTTTTTATTGAATATTCTTTTTTCCATAATATTTATTAAAATTAAATCCAAATAATAATAATTATTATTATATAAGAATTTATTATTTTGTTGCTTATTGTCAACGTTACGAATTTTAAAAGAATTTACAACCCACGGAGAAGTAAAGTTTAATTGCACGTTATTATTTCTTGCGATTGAAAGGGGAAGCTAGTGGTATCACATATAAAAGTCAACCAACATAGAAGTATAATAATATTTATAAAATCAAATTCCGCAGTGGAGTTTGTAGAAGTTGATTAATATATAGTTTAATGTCAGAATACTGCAAAGAAACATGCTTTAACTCTTATTTTTTAAAACCAATCGACCTTTCTTGCGGATAACGATATAGAAATCATATTTCATGCAAATTTTAATTATGAAATAACATTCAAAACATTGAAGAATAAATAAATATTAGACAAAAAAAATGCTATTTGAGTCAAAATGATCAATCGACAATTGTATAAGTCAATTTTTTAAAATAGAAAGTATGTAGACACAAAATTAATAATCCCATTATTCTAAAATTTTGCATAAATGTACATATATTCCTCTTGATAACAATAATAATTTTTCTAAATTGAATGCTGCCAATGACTGTTGACCATTTTTTGGCCAGTTTCTGGTGTCTCCTGCATTAAGAAAAAAATTTTGTTCAATGAAAAAAAATAATTTGACTCAACAAAATACTGCGGTCGAATACATATAAATAAATATCAATGTAATAATAGCAAAATATTTTGTTCAATTACTATGATGATTTTAAATTTGGCTCAATTAAATTGATTATTGCAGACAAAATGTTTATTTGATTTTAGAATATATTTAATTGAATAGGAATTCATTTTGATGATCCATTAAATTGAACAAAGCATTAATTGAACAAATTTCTTAATGGCATATACCACAACGCAAGATGTACACAGCTAATATTTTATATTTTAAACATATAACAATTAGATAAATAAACGTTTATTTATCTAATTGTTATATGTTTAAATTGTTATATGTTATATGTTTATGACATCTCGATCAACGCCGTTAGTCGATGGTGTTTACTGCGACCAATAGCTACACATCTAATTGTCAGCCTAATACATTTAAAAATGGTTAAAACAAAATTTAATTTTTTAAATAATATAAGTATGCAAGTAAAAAAAACCATTGCTATGTTATTCATAAATATGCCCGCATAGAAATTTGCTAAACTCTTCTCAAATACATCTTACATTCTGATTAGAATGCACAAATAGATAAATCGCGGTATCAAATTAGGAAATCTATTTTTATTTCAATTTGGATTTTCTGTTTAAATTGGAATAGAATTAGTGTAGAAATTCAAATAATTCTTTTTGTATCAATAATTAAAATTGTGTTTTTATATATATATGTATATACAAGGTATTCCAAAAGTAACGGTAAATCTTTCGCGTAGAAGCAGAATGGACTAAATCCAGAAAAAAAG